ACTCCAGCTTATGCTTATGGGCTATGACAGAACTTTGCCTTGTAAATCGAAGTTAAAAAGGAAGCCAGTGTGGGTTTTCAGCAGAGTAGTAATCTGGCTTACATTTTGGAAGGGTGACTGTAGCTGGTGTGCTCTGCATAGATGACCGGGCAGCCAGGGATCAAGAAGACTGGTGTAGGCGGCTGTTCAAATAACGGAGGGGAGTCATGATAGCCATGGGAGCAAAGTGGTGGGATCAGTGGTAGTGGTGGGTGGATTCTGCAGAAAGAGTAAAGTTTGAGGGCAGATTAGATGATGTATAAAATAAGAGTCAAACATAACTCAAAAGTTTCAGAGCCAGATAGGCACCAATATTGGCTTCTTAAAATTGGAATGAGGTCTGTTAAAAAAAGAACGTGTGACTTGAGGCATGGTGTCTGATTTCTTCCACCGATGCAAGGGGGAAGGGCAATCAAACTCCATCTCCGCATCACCCAAGGCCAATTTTGATAAGGCAGAGGTCAGAAACGCCTGACCCTCCCACCTTCCTACCAATTCTGACACCTAATGCCCCACTCAAAGCACTCTCTTAATTTTCAGTTGGGTCTGATAACTCATTGAAGTAGCCACAGAATTCACGAATGGTACTCGTGATTATGGGGTTTATTAAGAAAGTTCCAAAAGCCCAGGATAAAATTATTCAGCTAGGACAGCCTCTACTCAGCCATGTCTTCAGGCAGGTGTCTCATGGTTGGCCTGTTAGCTCCATGACCACTTGGCCTCTGCCTGGCTCCTGCAGGGTAACAAAGTTCTTTTAGGGTCTCAAATAAATGCCCACGGGTATTGCAGTCTACTATTAACCTCAGCCTGAAGATGCTCAGCTCTAGCTCCATGGGTCAGCAAACTTAGCTTTTCCAATGAAGTGCCTGGAGACATCCTACTCCATAAGCCAGCTTCCTGCTTGAAGGCACTCAACTTTGCTTCTGCTGTGGGCTAAGAAAGTTCACTGCTTTCGCTCATGCCCTAGATCTTGGTGTGCCACTGCTGCTCCTCTGTGGCTCCTCTGGTATCACAGCTGACTCCTGGATCAATAAAGTAATTGAATGTGCAAAGATTTCAGGGCCCAAAGGATGCACTGTACTCCTGGCTCTTCTCTCCCTTCTAGCTTCTGAGATGGTTCATTTGATACCCAGCAGGATGGCAATTCCAATGAACTCTGTTAACAATAACTCATAGCTATAGCCTAACCTAACTAGACCCCACCTTTGCTTACCGGATGCATCAGAAATAAAAAAAATTAAAAGATCACTTGGTGGGAGTTACAGAAACTATGGCTACGGGAGCCACATTGCATATATTCCTGCACTGCAGGGTCCAGTGAACAAAGAGCACATTTGCTGGGAAAGATCAGAAACTCAGTTGTGGATGTCATGCAAATGAGGCCCTTATATTAGACACCCAAGTGGAACATCCTCCTAGGAAGTTAGATATAAATCTGGAGGTCAGGCAAGATGTCAGGGTGGGTATATCAACTTGGAAATATTAGTGAACAAGACATCAAATTTCGACAATTGTTATTTCTTAGGAATAATTAAAAGAAACCTTTCAATATTATCCAAAAGCTATAAGAATAATACAGGCTGGCAAATATGGCAAATCCAATCAGTTAAAAAGTATTGGGGGGAAATTCTTCTATTCATTAATTCAGCAAATGATTTAGAGATTACTTCTTTCATGATGAGTCCTGGTGTAAGGACCAAGAGACAAAATACGCCTTGACGGCCCTCAGAACACTCTGGTCTGGTTGAGGTGATTATCAACAGAGTGGCTCAGCACCGTGGGAGGACTGTTAGAGAGGCTGGTCTGAGAGCCTGTAGGAAAAGACATGTAAGTTGTTGGTCCTTGTCTTGGACAGCCTACTGTCTAGTTGTAGAGAGAGCTATACATGAAAAGCCAAATGGTACTAAAAGGGGTAAAGAACCCTTGTAGATAACAATAAGAGACATGTCGTGAGACAGTATAAGAACCCTGGCCAAATGTCCATTTTTACCTTCGACCTACACCCAACCCAGTTGCTGCTGAGTTGGCTCTGACGCATGGCAACCCCAGGCATGCAGTGTGCAATTGCGCTCCATGTGGTTTTCAGGAATGCACCCTCTGAGAAGCAGATGGCCAGCCCTTTCTTTCAAGGGGCCTCGGGTTGGGTTGGAACCACCCACCTTTGGGTTAGTAGTTGAGGGGTTAATTATTTGTGCCATCTCTGGACTCTGGATACTTGCCTTCGGAGTCGAGAAATGGAAGGAGCCTTTGCAGGCAGGGATAGAATAGGAAAAGCTTGGTCTAGGTGGAATTTGAACTAGGACTTAAGAGAAGAGGCATGGTGCCTTGAAAGGATGTGATGGAGATGGTCCCTCAATCCTAACAGGGATGAGCTGCCTCTGAAGGACTCGAAGGGAAATGACAGGATAAGATGCAAATCTGAAAGTATGGCATATGATTTGGATATCACATGGAGAACAGCTGACTGGAGTGGGTGCTGGCTGACCTAACACTGATTCTTGTGAACATTTGAGTTTTAAGGTTTGTGGTGTGAATGGGCCATACAGGTTGAATTATCAAGCAAAGAGTTAGGTACGTAGGGCTAGATCTTGGGTGAGAGGATTCCATTGTAGATGGGTGGGCTACCTGGGAGACAGAAGTTACAGCCATAAAAATGAATAAAATCTCTAGAGAAGGAAGTGTAAAGAGAAGGGAAAAAAAGACAGAAAGTGAAAGAAGGCATCACCACTGAACCATGTCAATCCAAAACTCAAATTCCCTGCCATTGAGTTGATTCCTGAGTTAAACACCAGGGAGCTGGCAAAAGCCCAGGGAGACAGGGGTAGGAGAGATAGGAGATGAACAAGCTATCATCAGTACATAAGAGAAAACAGACATCCATATGCTAAAATAAGATATAGGCTAAATAAGAATACTCTGCATTCATATACATTTTCACTTTCCACACATAACTCTGCCTTCTAAAGGGGTCCAAGGAGATGAGGAAAGCTGTGTGAAGCACTCCTCTAGAATCCGGCAGCCAGGTCTCCTCGTGCAAAACGGAAGTGACAAGAACCAGACGAACCCTCTAGAACAGTGTTTCACAAAGGAATGTGAAGAATCAAAACGCAGGTGGATTGGGGAGGAAGTGAGGAAATGCTGGAATTGAATGTGAACATTAGAATTTCTCAATCTTGAATGTTAACATTAAATGATTTCCAACTCAGTGTTCTTACAACCAAGAATCCCTGTGCTGTGGCATTTGTGCTGTGGGGCTGTCCACCTCCCAGTCCCCTTCAGTGTCCCACACGATCGGGTATAAATAATACTTCCTGCTTGTATTGCAGCTGCCATGCAAGGATCTTAAGTTGCTTTGGGGCAGGATCTGGTGATGAGTGTTTGGCTCCACTTGGCAGGTGTCTGAGTTAAGATCCAGTAACTGGGCTGAAATCTCGTGGCTCCTGGCTGATGGCCCTCTCCCACTCTTCCCCACCCCTCCTCCCCCGACCCTTCCATGAGGGAGGAGTCTCTTACCAGGCCTGCTTGTGAGCTAGTGTAACCAGAACGCAAAGTTTACAAAGATTCCATTGAGCTACAAGATCCCTTCTTCCTTTGGGGGTTTCTCTGGTGCATGTCACGGAGCCCTGGTGGTGCAGTGGGTTACACATTGGGCTGCTGTCTGCGAGGTGAACAGTTCGAACCCAGCAGATGCTTCCCAGGAGAAAGACGAGGTTTACAGCCTTGGAAACTCACAGAGCAGCTCTATTTGGTCTCATGGGGTCCCTGAGTCTGAAGTGATTGGTGGCGGTGAGATCGGTTTAGGTTTTATGGATTGTATGTGGGAGGAAATGCATGGTATTAATAAACGTTACCAATTTAACTGCCTTGGGGATGGAAGATCATGGAGAGGGAACCTGTGAAGGAACTGATTAGAGTTTAACAGGTGGATCATCAAGAAAAATTAGAGAGCCCTATCATTAGGGCTCCCATGGTTTGTGCTGGGCTGCTGACCGATAGGTCAGCTGCACCTCTGAAGAACAATGAGGCTGTCTCGTCTGGGAGCCCTGGTGGCATAGTGCTTACGGGTTGGGTTGTGACCAGAAAGTTCAGCGGTTGGAAAGCACCAGTGGTTCCGAGGGAGAAAGACTGGGTTTTCTATTGCCGTAAACAGTTACCGTCTCGGAGAACCCACAGGGACAGTTCCACCCAGTCCTATGGGGCTGGGCATCGACTGTGACTGGGCATGGGCTCGATGGCAGTGAGTTTTGTGTGTTTTCATCTCCGCTTGTAAAAATCTGCAGCCCGGAGAACCCTGGAGGTCAGGTCTGCCTTGCCTTCTGAGTCGGAATTGAGTTGGTGGCAGTTGGTTGGCTTGGGTTAGACTTGCATCAGGCAGAAATGGGATATTTGCCATCGAACCACCGCTTGGTGGACGTTTCATGTCTCTGTGCTCCGGTCCTTTCTTCTGGTCTCCACCGCCCCCCACCACAGGGCAGGCATCCCTCCCTCTTCTTCTTTCTCTTTCTTGCAACCCCTTGAAACACTCCGCCTCCCCATTTCCTGGAAGCGCCTTGGGGTCAGCCCCTCTCTCTTCTGAGAAGCTGTTAACTGCCTGCAGTTGGACCCGAGGCTCCAGGAGTGCTGGCCCGGGAGTCGGGTTACACCACTTGTGTCTGAGTTCACGCATGTTCCTCTGTCAGGGATTCCACAAATACCTCCCAGAGGTAAAAAAGGAAAGCGCGCTTCGCTCCAGCACCCAGAGCTAGTGTGCCCAGTCGCCAGCGTCCTTGAGAGATAGCCAGCAGGCAGGGCCATGTCGCCCTAGCCCAGCCTCGGCCCCCTGGGTGTCCCCCGCAGCCTCCGCAGCGTCCCCCATGTCGAGGTGCAGCAGCGGCAGCAAGTTCCTGGGGTGAGGGGCGCCCGGGCATGCTCCGCCCCATGGGTCGCCCACCATGTCTAATGGATATCGCACTCTGTCCCAGCACCTCAATGACCTGAAGAAGGAGAACTTCAGCCTCAAGCTGCGCATCTACTTCCTGGAGGAGCGCATGCAGCAGAAGTACGAGGCCAGCCGGGAGGATGTCTACAAGCGGGTGAGTGGGTGCGGGCCTCGGGCCCTGGGGCAGGGGCGCTTCTGAGCCTGGGCTGTGCTGATGGGGGTGGGGAAAGGGGTCCAGTCCAGGCCTGCTGGTCACTGTGATGTCCTGTGGCCTTGGGCAAGCCTGTTTCACCACCCCCACCCCCACCCACATCCCAGGTGTGTGTTTTCTACTTCCCTTCCCAGGGGAAACAGGGAGCTGGTTGAAATCAGAGCCTTCCAACCTCTGGTGTGGCGGGTGTGCCACGATCACCCCAGGGGGCGAGTAGGGGGGTGGTGGGCAGGTCTGATGTCCATTCCCTGCCGCATCCCAGCCTTTCTAATTCACCAGAGGGAGGCGGGAGTGGGGAGATTAGCTGTTTTAAAAGGTCCCTTCTAGCACGGTGCAGTGGGGAGAGGACAATGACAATGCTAAGGAGAAGGCAGGCGCGGAGAGTGTTTGTCTTTGGCTTCAGGGCCATGTTTACTTTTGAAAATGATCCTGCAGGTCAGCGTTTCAGACCCAGGGCTTGTTCGTCTTAGAACGAGGAAGAGGGTACAAATGGACTCGACCTTGGTGCAAGGTGTGATGGGAAGCGGCACGGTGGCTTCCCTACAAGGAAAGGCGGCCTTGATAGATGGGCCAGGGTGTTAGTTGAGAGGGGAAGGAAGACGCAGCAGATTGGCTGAGCAGAGGGTGTGATGATATCACGTGACGCTACAAGGGTGACAAGGAATAAGCTTCCTAACTGGTTACCACAATGGTGATTTCCTCAGTCTTCTCAGTATCTGGGCAAGCAGGCCCTGAAGTGGCCTGCATGCCCAGGGCTGGTCCCGCACTCTATCCCGAAGAATCCAACACGCGTTTCCATTGGCTGTGTGCCATCAAAAAGAAGACGGAGAAGCACTAAGTGCTGTTGGGGAGTATCATGGATCAGACAGCTCAGTCTGGGGATGTCATCCTGTCTTCTCTCTGACATGAAATTCCATATTTTGCCTGAATTTCCCTGAATTTAGACCAGACTTCTTTTTCGTCATCTGTATGACTACAAGGAAGAATCTTAGTGGCGGAGTGCCTTTTGCTATGACAAAGTCACATGAAGTCCCCATGAGGATAGCTTTAGGCTGCGAACCTCAAGGTCAGGAGTCAAAACCACCAGCCACGCGGTGGGAGAAAGACAGGGCTTTCTACTCCCTGAAAGAGTTACAGCCTCAAAAGCTCACAGGGACAGTTCTACCTGGTCCGAGAGAGTGATGGCAGTGAGTGTGGTTTTGTTTGGCGTGGCTAGGGAGCGGACCTCACTGGAGCAGCCAGGGGTGGAGGATTCAGCTGCGAGAGGAGTTGGTAACTCGGGGAGAGGAAGCAAGGAGGAGCAGGAGTGGCAGGTTTGCCTCAGGTTAGGAACAAGGAATAAATATGTTCACTGAGCAGAGAGGAAAAACATCCCCTTACCAGTCTCCAAAGCAGGGTAGAAAGCAAAAAAAAATCCTAAATCATTTGAGGGAGAAGTGTTTTTTTTTTTTAGCTAGATTTATGACAGTGAGTGAGTTTGGTTAGGTTAATAAAATGGCTGCTTGAGTCCTTTGGTCTCCCTGTCTACTGCCACCGGCCCAGGAAGTTGTCTTCTGGGAACACTTTGGGTGGGGTGTGAAAGGGCGCCATGGCCGTCCCAGAGAAGTGTCATCAGTGATATTCTGGGAACTGCGCAGGGACGGGGGAAGAGCAGGGTACAGCTCCTTGTCACATGCTGTATCTTTTGTTACATTTCGTTATTCCCACCTGTCCCATATAGGAGAGGGATGGGACCCCGTCTCTACCTAGAACCTGTTGTAAATGTGAGCCGAGTCACCAGGCAGCTGCTGACACCAAGGCATCTCAAACTACTGCACCTCTCTCCTTTCCCCTGTCACTGCGTTTCTGGTTAGTCTGCCTCTTCGACGACTCCTCCCGCTTAGCTGTGGTTATTTGGGAAGCACTAAGACCTTGGATGTTCCTGGGCAGTGCACATGGCTGCTAGCTGAAAGGCTGGGGGCTTGAGTTCACCCAGAGGCCTCCTCCTTGGGAGAAAGCCTGGTGAGCTGCGATGTCGGTCACTGGAAACCCTCGCCAACCCGATTCTATTCTGATACACCCCAAGTCACCACGAGTGGGAATCAACTCCACAGCCATTTTTAAAAAGATGTACAATTAAAATCAGACAGCCATTATTAACCATCAGCATTCTAGCTGAAAGTCGTCTGTCATGCTCTACCCACTGCCGTCAAGTCAATTCCAGCTCCCAGCAGCCCTGTAACATGGAGCAGGTCTGCCCACACCGGGTTCCCAAAACTATAAATGCTTACAGAAGCCGACTGCCTCATTGCTCTGCCATGAAGAGGCTGGTGGGCTCAAACCACCAACCTTGTGGTCAGCAGATGACCACGTTAACCACTGCACCACTAGGATGCCCTAGTACACTCTACACAGTAATGAGGAGCAGGAAGCATGGTGGCTGCAAATTATTTACCCTCCCTGAGCCTCTTCCAAGCCCTGCAGAAGCGGCTTTAAGAGTACCCAGCACTAGAGGTATTGAAAGTTATTTGATGACAAAATGCGTAAGTCCATACACATTTAATAAGAAGATAATATCAAAGCATTTTATAAATTTAACCGTATCATACACATCGGAGAAGGACAGTAATTATATTACTATGAGTCAGTGGTCACAACCAACAAACCCTTTGCCGTCAAGTTGATGCCAACTCAACGTCACCCTACAGGAGCGAACACAACTGCCCCCATAGGGTTTCCGTGATCTTTACGAAGGCAGCCTGCCTCATATTTCTGCCCAGGAGTGACTGGTGGTTTTGGACTGCTGACATTTTGGTTGGTTGCTGTGTTCGTTAACCAAGCTCTATCCAGGATTCTTGGTTGTTATTATTATATTTAAAATGAGGCAGTGATTTGACTCTTTAAAACCTCACCGTTGTGTCCCCATACATGTGCCTTCCGTTCACCCTGGCTGTTCACACCTCAGCCTCAGGAGTTGGGAAGCTTCCTTAGCAGCAGTGTTGATGACAAGACACTTAGGGTGTTGTGCATAACCTCACATAGCAAGCCGGGTGCTTCGGACAAGAAGGCAGAGGCCTGTCCTACTACCATACTTAACCTGATTTCTCTTCAGTATTAAAGGACACTTCTTTAAAAATAGTCAAGGCATCAACTTGAACCCAACTGAGTTTGAATCTGCAATAATGTGGGTGGTGTCTGTAAGATTCCTTTCAAGAGTGCAAATCTTTATGGAGCGTATATATCATGAATCTAGTGTGAATCGTAATTATTTCATTGATGCATATATTTTGCCACTGTAGATTTTTGTGGCAATATTTGCATTTCAGAGCGAACGGTTAATGAGGAGCCATCCAGCATTTGGCCGTGATGACGCTAACGAAAGGAAATGTGGGAAACTGGAGGAGGAGACGAGAACCAGGGAGCGAGCCCTATCATTCTCTTTGCAAGTGGCTAGTCCTCCTTTGGGTAGGGGATTGAGGGAGAGACTAAAATAGTAGATATAATCCGTAACTGTACAGAAGCTACAAGGATTTTAAAAGAGAAGGTGTAAGTTAAACAATTTTAAAAATACAGTATCTGGGGTCTTAAAGGCTTGAAGTTAAGCAAGCGGCCATCTAGCAAGGAAGTAAATAAGCCCACATGGAAGAAGCACACCAGCCTGTGTGATCACAAGGTGTTGGCGGGAGCAGGTATCAGGCATCAGAAGATCCAAAACAAACAATCATATCAATGTGCACGAGGGGATCAAAGTGGAGACCCAAAGGCATCTGTAGACAATTGGACATCCCCTCACAGAAGGGTCACAAGGAATGGACCAGTCAGCCAGAGAGCAGTATAGCACTGAGGAAACACACAACATTCCCCTAGTTCTTTAATGCTTCTACTGTTATGACCCCAGGTCTACCTTACAAATCCAGCTAGACTCCCCCTACCCCACCCCTGCCCGGAACAGTAATGGGAACAGCAATACCATGAGGGTAGGGGAAGGTGGGGGGAGAAAAGGGGGAACTGTTTGCAACGATTGACATACAACACACACACCACCCGAGGGATGAACAACAGAAAAGTGGGTGAAGAGAGACAGTGGATGGTATCAGATATGAAAATAATAGTTATAATTTATCAAGGATTCATGAGAAGGGGAGGGGAAAAATCGCTGATACCAAGGACTCAAGTAGAATGAAAATGTTTTGAAAATGATGCTGGCAACATATGTACAAATGCGCTTGATACAACGGATGTATGGATTGTTACAAGAACTCTAAGAGCCCCCAATAAAATGATTTTAAAAAAGAGAGAGCGAGAAGGTGTGAGAGCTTTGTGTAAACATAGGCATATCAACCTCGAAGCGAGTAGGCTAAGAGAGAGGGTTATTTAGAGAACACAGAAAAAAACTAAGGATTATACTCATATAGGTTAATAAACCAAACTCCCTGGACAGCTAACCAGAGATCAGCAGTTCGAAACCACCAGGTGCTCGGTGGTGGAACGGTGAGGCATGCTACTCCCATTCGGAGTTTCAGTCTGGAGACCCACTGGCCAGCTGTACTCCATTCCGTAGGGTCTCCGTGAGTCAGAATCGAGTCTGGCGCTGAGTTTGGTCTGCGTTTTTGAGATTAGTAAAGGAACGCTGGTGACACCGTGGTTAAGCACTCAGCAGCTAATCCAAAAGTCAGGCACTTCCATCAAGATTTGCAGCCTTGGCCTTCCGACTGGACAGTTCTGTTGTGTCCTGTCAGGTCACTATGAATTGGAGTCAACTCGACGGCAGTGGGTTTGGTTTTTGTTTGGAAATCATTGCCACTCCTTGGAAGAAAGATGAACTCTTTGGGTCTCCGTAAAGATGTACAGCCTCAGAAACCCAAAGGGGACAGTTCTACTCTTTCCTGTAGAGTTTGGAAAGCATAGCAACTCTCCCGAGGAGTGACTATTGGGTTTGAAGTGCTGACCTTGGTAGTTGCCCA